GCAGGATTTCAATGTCTTGGATGAGGTAAAGAGAGAAGATGGATCAAATTATCAACGGAGGGGTTTGGGACATTCTTCCTTTAACTTCAGCTAGCGTCAATGGTTTGGCCTCAGCTTGAAAATCAGAGCCAGAAACCCTTTATTAGTCTTTATTAGTCCCACAGAGGGAACGCTACAGTGTTACGGCAAAGACACAGAGCACATGCAAAGTGACACATCAAGTTAGTTTAAAAGATACAATCAAACATGTATCATAAAGTCAAGTGTGTACATAACAGGGATTACCTCTTCAACAATGGGTCCAACAGTTTTAGAAACATCAAATAGCAGCAGGTAATAGTAAACATGCTTTCCACCAAGAAAAACGTCAACAAACCCGACACAGATGCTCAGACAGACTGAACAGAAAAGAAACATATAATATATAACAGAAGAGACAGACAGGATTTGAGTCTCTTAGAGGAAGTAAGAGGAAATGATGGAGGAGGGGGTACAAAGAGAGAGCCAACAAACTGTGGACGTATTACATTTCCACAGACAACAAAAACAACAACGAACCCGACACAGATTCCCAGACAGACTGAAAATGTAAGAAACATAAAATCCACAAGAGAAGAGAAAGACTGAATTTGAGGAAGTAAAGAGAGAAGATGGAGGAAATTATGGAGGAGGGGAGGGGGCGTACTTCCTTTCACTTGTGTGCATGCATTGTAGAGAGCCAACAAACTGTGGACGTACTACATATCCACAGACAACAAAAACAACAACAAACCCGACACAGATGCCCAGACGGACCCTCCCCACGGGGACATTTACATCGGCAAACAACGGCCCCTGTTGCCCCTCAGGTGCTCTTACAGTTCCCTCTGGAGGAAGGGGGTGTTTTCTTTTGAGGGGGGGGGGGAGGGTAGTATGCCCCCCGGCTGTGCACCCAGCTACCCCCCCCCCCCCCCCCCCCTCCCTCTGCGGAGCCTCTTTATTCCCCCCCGCGGAGCAGGTGACAGCCCTCCACTGTGAAGGGCCGAAGGGAGCCATGACGGATTCCACAGATGGAGCGTGGAAATCGCCGCTCGGCTCTGTGGAGGCAACAAAGAGCCGAGCGTCACAGAGAGAGAGAGAAATATGGGTGGAAAGAGAGAGAGGAGGAGAGAGAGAGAGAGGAGGAGAGAGAGAGAGAGAGAGAGAGGTGAGAGAGAGAGAGACGAGAGAGAGAGAGAGAGAGAGATGAGAGAGAGAGAGAGAGAGAGAGAGAGGAGAGAGAGAGAGGAGAGAGAGAGGAGAGAGAGAGAGGAGAGAGAGGAGAGGAGATTGGAGACAAGAGAGAGGGCAGAGCAAGGTGGTGCTTGTTTAAGGACGGTGGCGTGCCAAAAAGTGCAAAAAAAGTTTACGGTGTGATTTAGGAGTTAGCTGTTGTTAGGAGTGTGACTTTTTTCTCACTTGCTTTAAGTTGTACTGATAAGTGGTGGTTTGTACATGTTGATCCATGCTATGATCTGTTTTATAATTGTTAGAGACTATGAAAAAGTGTTTGTTGATTGATGGTTGATTGATGGACTGCAGATGGAAATGAGATAATAGCTATAATCTGGCACAAATCATGTCTTCTCCTTTCAAAATTAAGATAACATAAAGACACAATAACTAACACACTAATACACCGTTTTTCTACCAGACATAATTCCCTCTCCTGGTATCAATCTGTTGCTTGTTTAAGGACGGTGGCGTGCTAAAGTGCAACAACGTGTACGGTGCGAATTATGAGTTTGCTGTTGTTTGAAGGGAAAAATGTGACTTTTTCCTCACTTGCTTTGAGACTGTTTAGAAGTTGTTAGTTGTACTGATAAGGTTTGTACATGTTGATCCATGCTTTGATCTGTTTTATAATTGTTAGAGTGATAGGGACTATGAAACAGTGTTTGTTGATTTGGTATGAGTGAACCTGCCTGTTAGATAATAGCTCAAATCTGGCACAAATCATCTCTGACATAATAAAACTAAAAACACACCTCTTCTCTCTGGCCTTCTAGTTAGAGCGGAGTACGACTCCTGACTTTTCCGTGTGTTTTATTTTTTATTTTGTTTTTTAAGATATATCTGTTGTAATTTATTGTCGTTTATTGTGATTTGTAGTAATGTGTTTTTATTACATGTACAGCACTTTGGCTCGACCAAAAATCGCTTTTAAATGTGCTTTATAAATAAAACCTGATTTGATTTGATTTGATTTGATAATAACTAACCCACTAATACAAAGTGTTCTACCTGACATCATTTCCTCTCTGGGTAACAATCTGTTGCAGCTTCCCCAAACCCATCGTTATCATTTCATCGCCTCGCCTTATCAGCCTGTATCTAAACATCAAGTGATCCAACGAAGCAAAGTGAAACAAATGAGCCCCGTAAAGGATCTGACGACTAGACTCTTGAGACTTTCGTAGGTGCCACTCTGTCGCTTTCTTTTGAAAATGTTCTGGATACCCCGGTAGCAGTCATAACCGATAGGTAATTCCAAAGTGATTAAGGATTTTCCCGGCCTCCTCGGCTTTCCCAGGGCCCAAATCCCTGTGAAATGCTGAGGAACGTGCATGCTGCTAAAGTCTTGGAAGTGGGGGGGGGGGGGGGGAGAGAAAAAGCATTCCTCGCAGCCCTCCTCCATGCAGGCACTGGAGGGGGAAGGCTACAAAAAAAAAGGCCTCATCTCTCCACAACACAAATTCCTTCCGCAACCACTAAAAAACAAGTCATGTAACCCCACAAAAATGTATTTCATTTGGTTGTGAGTGATACAATTCCCAAACAGCTGATGAAACTAAATCCACAGTCGCCATTTTGTGCTTTTTTTCTTTGCAGTTGCAGTCGCTGTTTAAAATGCTAAACTCAAAGCGGGCAATCTACGAGTGCAACAATATTCAGCAGAGGCTTAAGGCAATGTCTCCATTTCTCTCGCTCCCCCTTTGAAAATATTTTACTTATTGCCTCCCTCATGCTTGAATGTTTCTTTACCAATTTGCCCCTAATGCATGTTAAGTTGACTCCCACTGCTATTGGTGTTGCGTGGAGAAAATCGCCGAAGGGGGAAGAGAGGATCAGTTTCACATGAGGGGCCCTGAGATATTTGGATTCTCTTGTATTTTATTGTTGCTGCTGAGGGGGAACTAATACAGTGTTGCACACAAAACTTCCCCCTATGCTGAGGGGGAATTAATTAAGTGTAACACAAAAAGTGTGTGCGTTGGCCATGGTGAACTTATGAAGGAGAACCAATGGAGTGTTTGAAGAAGTGAGTTAAAAAACCGAGCTGCCGCACAATAGCGTTGATACTGATCTGAGGCAGAGATGAAGAGTGGAAACACAAAAGCTGTCAGGAGAAATACTATCAGCAGCTCAGTCAGGCTTAAAATCACACTTAATAATATTTCAATACATAAACGTATGGATTTATCACATTTAAGTTAACATATATTGAGTTAATAAACCATTTAGATAACATAAGCAAAATAGCCAAATATTATGTTGTCACGGATTCTCAAATGTAATGATTTGCAGTTATTTTTTTCTGACTTATCTCTTTAGGACTTAACGACTTATATCTTAAGTCTTGTTCTAAAATATCAGACTTTATTGTGTATCATGCGTCCATCTTTGTTGTTATTTGTTTATCAGTTAAGTCGCTGGAGAAATCGCCTCAGTGTGAAAACTGGGGATGAATCAGACAGAGGCTTGAAAGACAAATTATAAAAAGTGAACAAACTGATTCCTATCTACTCCCGCTTGGTTTTAGATAAGTAGACAGCATTCACCTGACCGTGTCTCACACACACACACACACACACACACACACACACACACACACACACACACACACACACAGACACACACACACATACACACACACACACACACGCTCAGAGAATGGCCCCTGGATCCAAATTAGCCTTTTGTGTGGCTTTTAGTGCGCCCGGCCCCCTGTGGTGCCCTGGGAATCTCGTCCAGTGGGATTATTCCTCAGGCTCAGAATATCCCTCTGAATGGAGGTCTGTTTGGCCACAAGACCACGAGGAAGATGGAGCCTTATGGTGTGTATGGGAGTGTGTAAAGAAAGGAAATGACACAACATTTAGTAGACACAACTACAAGTAAACAAGTGGCAACAGGGAGCTAAACAGTGGATATTCTTGGTTTGTTACAGCCACTTTCATATCAGGGAAAATACACTTACTGTAAAGCACGGTTTGTCTACATACAACATCAGATTTTTGCCCTTTAATAGGCAGTCAAATATTAGGTGTTCACTTTAGGATGTGACTTTTCTGAAGATGTGTATGTGGGGTTATCGGAAAGGAAAGTTATAACATTTCAAGAGCAGACAACATGGGAATCACATTAGCTTTCACTGGTAAAACATGTACACAGCACCGCACACAGTTACATGTAGTCTCTGCATTTAAACAATCTTAGTTACAGGATCAAGGACATCTATTATATGCACAGCACCCATGAGCTGTAGTTGTTGTGATCTGGGAATTTTACCGGCAACCCTCTGTTTTCTAAGCCAAGTCAAAGGAAACACCTGATATTGGGAGAAAATTGTTCTCTTAATTAATGTTTACAAGACTGGTTGCTCAATATGCATTTTTTTGCACGAAAGAAAAAAAGGTGAAAGTCTGGGCATGTTTTGAGCTCATTTGGAGGCAAATTTCGATGATTGATGGCCTTATATAAAAAAGCAGATTTTGCAAAGGCAGTCTACATACGATACGATACGACTGTATACTTTATTGTCCCCGTAAGGACATTTGTTCTGGACTCCGTCCTGCAGTTACATACATGTACATATCATCACTCATGCACCGTTTGCACAAACACAATACACAGACGCACTTACTGACAATGAAGACCTATTGCACAAACCTCATGGCCAACATTTAAAAGTATATTACATTACATGTGAGTGTACATCAGTGATGTTTAAGTATTTTCTTTCTCCTGTGTCGTTGCAGCGAGTCACTCAGACGAGGGTTCGGACGTGGAGTCGGAGCCGGATCTCCCCCTGAAGAGGAAGCAGCGCCGCAGCCGCACCACCTTCACCGCGGAGCAGCTGGAGGAGCTGGAGCGGGCCTTCGAGAGGACGCACTACCCCGACATCTACACCCGGGAGGAGCTGGCTCAGAGGGCCAAACTCACCGAGGCCAGGGTCCAGGTACGAGAACACACTTAGATACTGTTAGAAAAATATCACTCGTCCCCGGCTTGAGCTTCAACATCAGGATCCATGTATTTCTGATCCTCTCCAGAATGGAAGTAGTCATCACATACAGAGCATCAACTAGTTCCTGAACAGTGTCCTTCACATGCTGATATCCAAGAGAGGGAGTTACACAGTCACAAAATGGAGGAATATAAAGCCGTATTCAATGTTTACTTCAGATTAGCTCCACGTCAGAAATGATCATGCTTGTCATATGTCTATCTCCATAGAGGCTGAATCATCATGTTAATCACATAGCTATCATATGCCTCAAACAGTCCTGATGCTCTTCTAGGTAATCATACATCCTGTCATGTACACAGCTACAGTTGGGATACCTTTGTTAGCATGCTGCTCTCATGTTGGAAGAGTACATTCAGTGTTTTCCCAAC